GCAACCTGTACCCCCTGCAGCCGCGAAAAGGAGACGCAAACGCAAAGACAACCGTGTGAGCCACATTGCCATGCACACTACATTGCCACCGCACACACACGCACACGCACGATCGTAGCATCTTCACACGAGCACATGCACACGCAGGACGACGCACAGCGTGTTGGCCTCCAGCATGGTGGTTGGTTGGCGTTGTTGTTTGTTGTTGTCGTGGGTGCCGCGAAATTCAAAACGCTGGCTGTGTGTGTGTGTGTGTGTGTGTGTGTGTGTGTGTGTGTGTGTGTGTGTGTGTGTGTGTGTGTGTGTGTGTGTGTGTGTGTGTGTGTGTGTGTGTGTGTGTGTGTGTGTGTGTGTGTGTGTGTGTGTGTCACTCTCTACGCCACGCACACACATGGTCTGTCTGACACTCTGTACGCCTCTGTCTTGCTCTCGCGCCCCGCCCCCTCTTTCTGTCACACACAAACAAGGAAGACAACAGCAGGTCGTTTACTTGGGCGTGCCGATAATGCACCAGCAAGGATAAGTTATGTGCGCGTGTGTAAGGTGATGTGGAGGTGGTGTGCTCGCTTGAGCCAGCGCACACGGTGCAGATCCGAGTCGGGGTCAATGGTCTTGGGCAACGCAATGGTGAGACAGGCTGTTGTTGGTGTGTGCGTCACCTCCACTTGATCGTCCTCAATCTCCACATCAAAGTCCGCTGCTCGCCACGTGCCATCATTGTTGGTTGCCGGCGCCACCACAATCGACTGCGTGTTGGCTTCCTCGTCAACCCTCAATGTGTACGTCAACTGCTGCTGCTGCTGCTGTTGTTGTTGTTGTTTAAGTTGTTGTTGTTGTTGTTGTTTAAGTTGTTGTTGTTGTTTAAGTTGTTGTTGTTGTTGTTGTTGTTGTTTAAGTTGTTGCTGTTGTTGTTGTTGTTGTTGTTGTTGTTGCCGTCGTCGCCTGTCCTCCTCCTCCTCCTCCTCCTCCTCCTCCTTCTGTTGCTCCTTCCCCTCTTTCCGTCCATCAGCTCGCTCGTGTACCCCTCCTGCCTCCCCATCGCCCTGTGCCCCCCGCTGCTGCGTCGGCAGGACGTGTGCCGATGCCCCGTGCTTCGCCTGAAACCGTTCAATTTCCCGCCGCAACCGCTCCTCCTCAATCGCAATGTCGCTCCTATCACACACACACACACACACACACACACACACACACACACACACACACACACACACACACACACAGCGTTGTGAAATGGGTGAGGACTAGCTATGGGCGAGGAATGCGGGAATGCTTGAGTGTTAGAGTACATGTGTCAGTAGGCTGCATGATGATGGCACACCCATGCATCCGATTGTTCCCGCTCACCTTCCGTTTGCCGTATTGCCTTGCTGCTGCTGCTGCTGCTGCTCAGCCATTTGCTTCTCCTCCAAGTCGTAGAACCAGTGGGTGACAGCATAGCGCGGCTTGGACGTCGGCAGCACCTTCCCCGCCATCAAAACGAGTGCACGGTTGCGTTGCATGCGGCACAAAGGGAATGGGTACATGCTGTCAACGTTGTGCAGACACACGGAAAAAGAGAGGCAGGCAGAAAGCGACAGCCAAGCGGCATTGCAAACACGACAGACAGACAGACAGACAGACACAGACACACAGACAGACAGACACACACAAACAAACACAGACACAGACACACACACACACACACACACACACACACACAAACAAACAAGCAAACACACGATGGGCAACGCACTTCGTGTGGGACGCGCTTGTCTGAGAAGAAGATCACCATTGTGTCCAATCGAGGAGGAATATCCACCAGCACTTTATCATCAAGATCACCACCACCGTCACCATCACCATCATCACGACTGCTGGCTGGTTTGTCATCGTGTGTGGCTTCCTCCTTGGACTGCGCGTACACACGCAGCTCACCGCCGTCGCCTTGCTGTGATTCCCCACCAGGAAGAGATAGTATGCATGAATGCCATCGTGACGAGTGTGCGCGCAACCACGCTACAGCATGAATGCCATCGTGACGAGTGTGCGCGCAACCACGCTACAGCATGAATGCCATCGTGACGAGTGTGCGCGCAACCACGCTACAGCATGAATGCCATTGTGACGAGTGTGCGCGCAACCACGCTACAGCAAAGCGAATGTGTGTTGTGTATCACACTCCACAGGCAATTCTACAGCCTATGAACCCCACCCCCACCTTCCAGCCATCGTTGAGGTAGTAGAGAACGGTGAGCTTCCTGCCGTTGCGGTGCGGGTTGTCGCAGTGCTTGATGTAGCGCGCGCCGTTGCCCGGGTAGCACGTGACCATGGCCTTGGAGCGTGATTCAAGAGTCTTCAACTCTGGCACAAGTGATGCAATCAACTGCAGTGCATGCAGCAATCGCAAAGAGGGGACAGCACGTGGTGAGATGGAGGAGGAGGGGAAGACGGGCGGTGCCGAGATAGAATTGCTCAGCGAACGAACAGGCAAGGATGACACACAGACACAGACACACAGACACACACACACACACACACACCTGTACGATGGTGTTCATCTTGCGGGAGAACGTCTTAAGCGCCGTGCCACGCCAACACTGAACACCGCTACCAGCACCACTGTCGCCTTCATTCTCGTCATCGCTGTCGTTGTCGTTGATGGAATCGGCAATGGGTAGCTCGTCACGCTGCGTCGTGTCATGGCACGGGTCTTCGTCGAACCAGCCAACCTAATGGTGGTGACGTGATAGTAAACGTGCAAGTGTTCACCATAAGCAGCGCTGTTGTAAACACAAACACACAGACACACACAAACACACACAGACAACACAGACAACACAGACACAGACAGACACACGGACAAGACAGACAGGTGCATGAGCCATATCTGCGTACCTTATCGCCGCGAACAGCGGAGAGGATGTATTTGGTGTTTGCACCGGTCCGCCCGCCACCGAGCATACCAGAGCTCAGCCGACCCTGCGTTGAGTACAACGGAAGCAGCGGTTAGCGACTGGCAAACGGCAAACGGCGTACGCTAACGGACATGTCCATCCGCCCACTACACGCACGCACACATATACAGACACACGTACATGTGCTAACACAGGCATGCGAACGCACGCACACGAACCGCTCCATGCGCAGTTTTCACTTCTGTTGCAAGCCTGGCAGCCATCTCAGGCCCTGCGACCATGAGCAGTGCAGTGCGAACGCAAGGGTGTCAACAGGAGTCCAAACACGAGCAGGGCAGGCATACACACACAAATAAGTCGACACACACACACAAAACATTGGCGCGCGCACACGCACACACACACACACACACGAAACATTGGCACACGCACACACACACACATACGCACACACAAAACATTCGCACACACACACACACACACGTCTACATATGCACGCACCGAGGACGTTGGGCAAGATAACGTAGTTGTTGCGCATGAGTTGGGCAGCCAAATCCTTCGCCCATGCAAACACTTCAGGTTCATCCTTCATCAACTGCCTCACATGCTCGTACCGGCCGCTGTGTGTGAGCCAACAAGCCAAGGTTCGGTGGTGAGCAAAAGCACACGGTCCACCAGCACTGCGCACGTGAACGGAAGGAATGATTGATGTAGCTTGGCAAGAGTGTGGTCACCAACTCCACACTCCACCTTCCCTTCACCGCACGCACACGCACCTATGCTTTTGGCCCTGCTCTCTGGGGATCTGAGCTTGGCCGGACGACCTCGAGCCCGTGCCTTGTGCAGCCGTCTCCTCTTCCTTCTTCTCTTCGTCGCCGTCGTCGTCGCTGTCCTCGTCGTCGCTGTCACGCTGCTTGGGTTGGGGTTGTGGCGTCTGTTGCAGTGCCGCCAAGACGGCCGCGATCTGGTTGAGCACGGCCACCGCTTCTTCCTCATCACTCGTGTCGTCAAACTTGGCCAGCTGTGCATACAGAGCCGCCTTTGTCTCCGTATCCATCCCACCCTTCCCACTGCCACCCACGCCACTGTCAGCAGCAGCAGCGGCAGCGGCAATCGCCTGCTCCACAAGCGCCCTCGCTTGCGCCCTTCGAGTGCTCATCGCTGTTCGTTTGTTCGTTTGTGTTTGGCTGTTGCGCTTCATATCCGACACTGATTTCAGTCTCCACCACTTTTGTTGCCAACACGAAAGACAACCAACAACCAGCAACAGCACGAACACCAACGAGCCCCATGTCCAAGAAGCGCTCACAGCAGTAAGCCAGCCAACCTTGCGTGCGTGTGCGTGTGCGTGTGCGTGTGCGTGTGCGTATGTGCGTACTCATGTTTGTACACGTGTGCGAACCTTTGCACGTTGCCTTCTCACCCTGCAGTTGTGTTTGTTGTTCTTGACGCCACCGTTCAGAAGTCCCAGACACACACACACACACACACACACTCTCTCTCTCTCTCACACGCACACTCACTCACACACTCACTCACACCTCACCCACACACACACCTCACACCATGGCCTTCACCGATATCAGGCTGCAGTCGCAAGCAGAGCGGCTTGCGCTGGAGAATGACCGCATGGAGCAGCGGCTACAGGAGCTGCGCTCGTCCTTGCGTAAACAAAAGGAGGAGCGCGATGCAAAAGGAGGATACACGTGGAAGTCTGGGCGGCGGTCCAAGATTTCGGGGCATGCCAACGCCGTCATTGAGAAGGCACAGGACCGCCGCAAGCACCGCGCACGACGCCATGGCGCCGGCAGTGGTGGCTCGAAACAGCTGCCGCGACCGCCTCCCAAATACTCAGCTTCGTCGGCAGCTGGGGTCCAAACCGGTAAAGAAAACACTGGCAGGCGGCGCATGCCGCAACCGCCCGGAGCTGTAGGCTCTGCTGCATCCACACGCAGCGCCACAGGCGGAACGCAACAGCACACAGACTTAGACCTTGTCCTGGACGCGAGGGCAGACTCTGCGAGAGAAACATCAGCACCGGTGCAGTCTGGTGTGCAGAGCCTGCGCCAGCGCCGCTTCAAGCGCGACTCCCGGTCCGGCACTGCATCCGAGGATGCCTCCCCCTCCGCATCCATGGCGGCAACACAGCAACACCAGCAGCGCGGCAGCGCAGGCCATATTGATGCATGGCGGCAGCAAACAGCGTACGTGATGGTGGTCGTGGCGTGTGTATGTGTGTGTTGGGTGGGTGGGGGAAGGGCAATGTGCGCTTACGTGCGCATGCTTGTGCGTGCGTGTGTGTGAAATGCATTTGGATTGAGTGCGTCAAGGTGGCGGGTTTCTTGCAAGCCGCACAGTCCAACCCCACCCTTCTGCCGCACACACATTCACACACACACACACAAACACACACACAAACACACATACACAGGGAAGCGATGGACACGCATGGCACGACGACGACCGCATCAAGTGGTGTTGGCGGGGACGATGTGGACCCAGACTACCCGCCACTGCCGGTGGAGGGCGGTGGACGGCTGCTGGATGGCCCGGCCTTTGATGAGCAGGAGAGCAGCAAAGCGTTCGCAGAGGCACTCAAGGCGTGGCGGAACGGCGATGGCGATGGTGATGGCGGGAATGGAAGAAGTGGTGATGCGAAGGGAGTGTCTGCAGCCAAGTCGTGGAATCCAGCAGCAGCGGTTGTTGGCTCGGATATGGCATCCACGGATGTGCAGACGGGAACAGCTGGGCAGGACCTGTCCCCAAAGAAGGTGCGCTTGCCGCTTGTGGAGTGCGGCGTTGATTGTGCTGTGCTCTGTTTTGTTTCACCTGATTCCTCACACGCACGTATGCGCACATGTTTGCATGCACGCTGCTGCTCACGAAAGACGGCATAAACCCACTCATATGCTCAAATCATTCACACACACACAATCACACTATCATATCGCATTCACACACTCAATCGCACACACACACACACACACATCACACACGCACACTGCAGCTCAACCTTGACATTCGATTTGAGAGCAACCTGTCGTACTCGGAGCGATTGATGCTGCAGCGTGGGCGCCAGCGCGCCTCCAACCCTGCGTCCCGAACGCCATCAACAACCACCAGCCCACAGCACGCAGGCGCCGTGGCGCGGACACACGCGAGCGAGGGAGACGTGCCCAAGGCGCCCATGTTTGGACATGACATCAGCGCCGCACCCAACCACCCTGAACAGCCAGGGTTGCATCACGACGACGTGTTTGCTGACACCAACAACAGCAACATCGACGACGATGACGACGATTTGTTGTTGGACGCGGACTTCTTGCAGCGCCGCATTCAGCTCACAGACGCTGGCAAGGAGACCGCAACAGCACGGGACGAGCGCGGCGTTGTGGAGGTTGTGGAGGTGGCTGAGGTGGTGGAGGGCGATGATGATGATGATGGGCAGGGTGGTGACGGCACTGCACAGACAAACACATCATCTTCTCAGGAGAACGGGAGCGAGATTGCTCCTCTCGTGGACGAGCCAGACGACGACGATGACGACGACGATGATGATGATGACGATGCGGATGGGGACGAGAGAGACATGCGTGGTCGGCAGGCTCAACACCGGCCGGCATCAACAGCAGCGCAGGTGACGGTGGGCGATGCGAGTGAGCACGACTTCATGCAGCCGCCACCACCGTTGTCATCGTCATCATCTTCATCGCGGCCGGTTGCTGTTGACGCTATGGAGGCGCTACTGCAAGGCGCCGGAGACAACGCGTGATTGTGTGTGTGTGTGTGTGTGTGTGTGTGTGTGTGTGTGTGTGTGTGTGTGTGTGTGTGTGTGTGTGTGTGTGTGTGTGTGTGTGTGTGTGTGTGCTGTGGCCAGACACTCATGAAAATGAGCAGAGTTGTGTTGTGAGGAGGATCAAGGAGTGAGGTAGTTGGTGGACCTCTCTGTGTGGATGTCGTGTTGTTCCGGTTCCACTTGCGTTTCCGTTCTGTTTTCGTTCTTGTTGCATTCATGATGCATTGCTCAGCCTTTGCAATTACATTTTACGGGGACAAACAACACTAAGCGATGCTCACCAACAGAGCAAGAGGGAGGGAGAGGGAGAGGAAAGGCAATGCACACACACACACACACACACACACACACACACACACACACACACACACACAAATAAACACACACACACACACAAATAAACACACACACACAAACAAACAAACACACAATAAACACACACACAATAAACACACAAGCGCGCGCACACACAGACACGAATGCATACATAAACACATGGGCTCTCACACATAGGCACATCGACTCAAAAGCTAAAACGGATGCTTGTGAATGGGTTCATCCACGCTTTGCTTTCTTCTTGCTCGCGCCCTTGCTGGCAGTCTTCTTCTTTGCACCTGCAGAGAGCGCGCGAGGTGTGATGTTGTGGCAGAACAGCGGCGTTGGTGAGAGGGGTGAAGGTAGCCACACACACACACACACACACACACACATACACACCTGATCGTTTCTTTGATGCAGCAGCAGCCTTTCCGCCACCGCCACCGCGCTTCTTCTTCTGCTTGATCATGGCGTCACCAGACACATCCTCGTCATCCTCGTCATCCTCGTCGCCATCATTGCTGCCGCCCTCGTCCTCCTCCATCTTGAACATCTCCTCTGCACACCCGCCGGCACAACGCAGCCACGCGTGAGGCAATGCAAGACGAAGGAACATTCATACCAGAACAGCGAATCACACACGCGCATTCACGCACAACACACACATACAAGACACACACACACACAGCAAAGTAAACACGCACACAGTCCTTGTTTTTTCTCGTTCAACAACCCCCCACCCTTCCTCCTCTCCAGGCTGACCTGTGTCGGGTGCCTTCTGCTTCTTCTTCCGCTTCGATGCGGCCTCCTCTGCATACGGCAGCATGTGCGCGCTGCTGTTGTACGCGCGCGTGAACGCCGTCTTGGTCTTCGTGTCAAGGCGTTTCGTGGGGTCGGGCAGGCCCGAGAGCTGGCTCAGCTCGTGCAAGGAGTCCCAGTCCGCGCGCGTCAGGTTGTACGCGTTCATCACCGCCACGGCATCCTTTGCTCCGTCAGCGCCTGAGGCGGTGCAGGCGGTGGGAAGCGTGATGTGGTGTTGGTGGGAATGCAGATAGAGGGGGAGGGGGGAAGTGAGTGCATGGTGTGGTGGTGAATGAAGGAGAGGCGGAAAAGGTGAACAAGCGAGAGCGCCCGTAATGGCAGACTACCACAAACACACACACACACACACACACACACACACACACACACACACACACACACACACACACACACACACACACACACACACACACACACACACGCACGCATCAACAGCAGCAGCAGTAGCAGCGAACCTTGTTCGATGAGGGGCTGCATAATCTGCGCGCGAAGGTACGGCACGTAGGAGAGGCGCATGTCTGTGGTGTCTGCCGAAATGTCTTTGCGCATGTGTTGCTGGAGCTCACTGCACTGACGTCGTGATTTTGTGCGCTTGCTGTTGTTGCCGAACCACTGCCAGAAGGCAAACACGTCATCAACACGAATCATGTGGTGAGCACATAACTTAGGGGTGCTTATGCACATGAAGCACGAACACAACGACGACATCCACAACCCATCCCTTTCAACGGCAGTCACATCCATCACTGTGAACGCATGTGCATGTGTATCGCGGGCTTACCGAGCTGAATTCGATGCGCCCGTGAAGGCTTCCACGCATGATGAACCCGGGCCTTGACGGAGTGTAGGAAGAAGGGGGGAGGGATAGAGCCGGCGTGGCGGATGATGGAAGGTGCGGATAAGGGGGGTGAGGAAGGGAGAACAACTCTCACAAAGTTATGGCATGGGGACAAGAACAACACACGCGCTCTTGCATCCACTCATACATATGCACACACCTGATGCAGGACATGTATCCGTAGACGGGGAGGGCGCTAAATGCAGAGTTGGCCATCATAAAGTTGCCAACCTGAACGGCGGCAGCAACAGGTGCACACCAAAGCCAAGACATGAGGGGTGGAGCCGTGTGTGAGGACGACACAGGGCGTGGCGAATCCACTTGTGGAAGCACAAACACGAATGCACATGTGTGTGTATGTGTGCATAGAGATGTGTTGACTGACGAGTTCGGCTTCCGAGATTGCGTCAGCGGCGTCGGCGATGGTGGAAAGGACATCCACAGGTCCGGATTTGCCTTTGAAAAGCATAAAAGCGTCAAGTACAGCAGCACACGTGAGCCAGGGCGTGCGTGCGTGCTTGTGTATGTGTGTGCGTGTGTGCGTGTGTGTCTGTGTATGGGTGTGTGTGTTATGTGTCTGTGTTGTATGTGCGTGCGTGTGTACGGGGCATTGCTTGGGGGTACCGTGTGGGGCGCAGCGGAGGTAGTTCTCCTGCATGAAGAGCGGCATTGCCGAGTAGTCCTGGAAAAACGCCTCCTGCAGCTCATACCCGCGCGGTCCTGGCGCACGGCACCGCACAAGGAGGGAGAGGAGGGAGGGGGTGTTGGTCGTGGTGATGGTGGTCGTATTGGACGCGGGGGGGGGGAGGTGGTGGCATTGGTGTCAGGTGAGCATTGTTGTGCGCAAGGGGTGTGAGAGAGGACCTGTGTACACTGTGCTCTGTGTGCGCGATTATGTTTGCGCGTGCGTGCGTGAAGATTGGAGTTTCTGCTGGTGCGGTGTTGCCATGGCTGGTGCTTACGCTGCGCGGCGCGGAAGAAGAGAGGAAGGCAATCCCAGGGCGTCTTCTTCGTGTACTTGGTCGCGTTCTTGATCTGCCATTTCCAAACGTTGCATGCGTGAGCGCAAATGTTAAAAGCCCACGACGCTTCATCTCACCCACCACACGACACACACGCACACACACACACACACACACACACACCAGCACCAATGTGACACACGCACGTCGCGGTCGATAATGTCCTGGCGCTCAACAAAGTTTGCGTTGTCTCTGCTCCACATGTACATGTTGTTGAGAATCTGGCGAATGTCTCCGTTTGCCCCCTCAATGATGCGATCCAGCACAATCGGATTGAGCGACAGCCCTGCACACGGCAGTGAACGCACAGACGGAAGGAGAGAGGTGCAAGGTGTGTGTGTGTGTGCGTGTGTGTGTGTGCGTGCGTGTGTGAACGTGGGTGGTTACATGGGACAGCCCATTCATCTGCAACAGCACCAGCCATGACAGCAGCAGCACCACCACCACTAACTACAACAAACGACACCATGACGCCCACTACCATCTAAGCACCCATGAACCGCGTGCATGCGCTGGTGTGTGTGTGTGTGTGTGTGTGTGTGTGTGTGTGTGTGTGTGTGTGTGTGTGTGTGTGTGTGCATGTGCGTGTGCATGTGCGGCACCTTCTTTGAAGGCGACGGACATCATGGCCGAGCGAATCTGTTTCGTCTGCAGTTTGCGGAAGGGGAGGTGGAACGAGACATCACGCAGTCGGCGCAGCTTCTGCGGCACGTCGTTTGCAATGCAGATAATCGGCATCTTGGTTGTCTTGATGAGCTTCATAATCTCGCCAACGCCGCCCCGGTCCTCGTTGCCCGCCATCCCGTCAACCTCATCGAAGATCACAGCCTGAACGCGAGTGCAATCGACGCAGTGTGGTGGCGGTGGTGGTTGAAGATGAGTGGGCAGTGGTGGTGGCGGCGATTATGGTCGTGTCCGTGGTGGTGATTGCGGGAATGGCAACTCATATTCACCTTGAACAAACATGGGCCCCACGCACACTCATTCATGATTGTCAGCGCACCACTTTGGTTGCACGGGGCTTCGTTGCGGTGCCGTAGAATTGCGTCATGGTGCAGTTGCGGGTGAGGGGCCCGATTTGCGCCTCAAGCAACTTCTTACTCCGCGCATCGCTCGCATTCAGCTCAATCGGCTGCATGTGCGTGTGCGTGTGCGTGTGTGAGTGTGAGTGTGAGTGTGAGTGTGAGTGTGAGTGTGAGTGTGAGTGTGAGTGTGAGTGTGAGTGTGAGTGTGAGTGTGAGTGTGTGAATGGGTGTGAGTGTGAATGGGTGTGAGTGTGAGTGTGAGTGAATGGGTGTGCGTGTGAGTGTGAGTGTGAGTGTGAGTGTGTGAGTGTGAATGGGTGCGTGAATGTGCAGCAGACAAGCAAATGTGGCCAGTCAGTCTGCATCAGCCACAATCAAACAACCCCACGCCGCATGCGCCGGCCACGCACCTCGTAACCGCACGCCTCACAGACGAGCTTTGCGGTCGTCGTCTTGCCAATGCCCGGCGGACCAACCAGCAGCGCACACCGCTTGTCAAACCCAGTGTCGTCTGCACACGTACACATGCAAGCTTGTGAGTGATTGCGACGTGACGGACGCAGACAACAAACGCGCGCGCTCTGCCTCACTCAACGATGTACACACACAAGAACGCACACACGCAACACACGCACACACAAACACACAAACACATACGCACACAGCACGTGCACGATCCCAAACCCACTCTTTGTTGGTTTGTTGTTCTTGCGGGGCAGGTGCTGGTGCCAGGATTCGAGCCAGGCCTTGAGCTTCTTGGCGTTGCTGCGCGCGCCTGACTGACCCACAATCTTCTCCATGCTCTTCGGGGCGTACTTGACCGTCCACAAGTCTCCAACGGCCGATTGCGGTGGTGGCGATGACGCTGTAGCGGTTGCACGCTTCGCTCCTGCCGCTGACGATGACGATGATGATGAAGCTTTGAGTGCTGCTGATGTTGTTGCTGATTTCTTGGTTGCTGTCGCCTTCTTGCCGCCCTTCTTGCCACCTGGACGGGGAGGGAGGGGTGCAAGGCAGGTGTATGCGCACGTGTGCGTGGGTGTGTGAGAAGTGTTAGCGCATGTAAGCCGACAGCAGTGGGAACAAGCACATTGGCACTGGCACTGCGGCTGGTTCTGGACAGCGAACACAATGGCACCACACACATAGACACACACAGGCACACAAAGTCATGTGACCGCACCTGTGGTGATGTCGTCAAATGGCTTCTCGGGCAGTGTGCGAATCAGGTCAAACAGACCGTCCTCGTCAATGACGTTCAACTTCAACTCCTCGGCCTTCTTCATCTTGGAGGGGCCCGGTTCAATTCCGGCAACAATGTAGTTGACCCGCCCGCTCACGCTCTTCTGCACAGCGCCGCCGTGGTCCTTGATCAGCCGCTCAGCCTGCAGGCGTGGTGGTGAATGTGAGGTGGGTTGTTGGTGGCAGCGTGACGTCATGATGAATCTGCTGGTTTGCGAATGTGGAAATGCAGCGTGCACAATCGTGTTGATAATAATGCAACGCATGAACACGCACATGAACGCACACAGACACATAGACACACAGACACACACACACACACACAAAGCAAGCGCGGACCGTATCGCGTTCGATGGAGTCGAGAACGCCCGTGAGGACAAACTTGAGGCCGCCAAGGCAGTTCTGCGCCCCAGATGGCAGCGGCTTCTGGCCGAGGTTTGGCGGCGCGAGATTCTGCATGCGCTGCTTGTACGCCCAGAAGTTGGACCCTTTCTTCGGTGTCGTCTCCGTGCTGCCACCACCCGCCGATGCTGATGCTGCTGATGCTGATGATGATGCTGATGATGCTGATGTGGCTGCTGTCTTGGATGTGCTCGTTGCTGATTTCTTGGGCGACGTCGTCTTGGCCTTTTTCTTCTTCAGCTGCAGGCGGTGCGTGTGTGTGTTTGTGTGTTTGTGTGTGTGTGTGTGTGTGTGTGTGTGTGTGTGTGTGTGTGTGTGTGTGTGTGTGTGTGTGTGTGTGAGGAATGATGGTGGCACGAACGCTGCCAAAGCGCCACTGCAAGCACGAGATGAGTTCAACGGACACAAACACACACACATCACACGCGCACGCACGTACCGCTGCTGGAACGAATCCGCCATCATCATCATCGTCGTCGTCGTCGTCGTCTTCAATGACGGCGCGTGGTGGCGCTGTCTTTGGTGTCGCCTTTGTCTTCGTGTCGACCGATGCTCGCCCCTTCTCCCGCGTGCTCCCCTTGCTCTTCTTGGGGCTGGTCTTGCTCGGGCCACCCTGCACCGCCTTGTTGGTGCTGTCATGGCCACCATCACCGCTGCTGTCGTCGTCCTCAATCACCTCTCGTTTTGGTTTCGCCGCTGCCGCTGCCGCTGCCTTCTTGCGGGGTGAACGCCGTGTTTTGACTGGCGATGCCGTCGCAGACTTGTTCTCCTTCTTGACAGTCTTCTCGTCCTGCTTGCTCTTCTTCGTCTGCTTCGCTCCCTTCTCGTCGCCACTCCCGCTTCCGTTCCCAATCGCGTCATCATCATCATCACCGCCACCGTTGTCGTCGTCGTCACCCATCAGCACCGCCAGCGCTTCAGCCTCATCAATCTGTGTGAGCGACGTGTGTGTGTGTGTGTGTGTGAGTGTGTGTGTGTGTGTGAGTGAGAGTGTGTGTGGATGTGTGAGCGAGTGCGTGAGAGAGTGTGTGTGCGTGTGACAGTAGTGAGCAAGTGGTGACCTGGTCAAGCCCCAGCGTACAGGAGCGAGCAAGGGCAAGCAAGGGGCAGCGTCAAGTGTGTGTGTGTGTCAGAGTTGCATACGTCATCGTCATTGTCGTCGGGAACCGCAACAACTTCGTCCTCGTCATCATCCTCGATAATCATGGAGCGCTGAGCCTGGCAACAAATACAACAGCAGCAGCAGCAGCAGCAACAGCAAGAAATGCAGCAAGCAAATCAAGAAGGTAAAGGAGGTCGGCCAAGGGTAGATATGAGTAAGAGAGGGGTACATTGTTGAGTGAGTGAGTGAGTACCAGCGATAAGCAGTGTGGCAGCGGGCATCGACACGGGTGCCACTTGGGCTGCTCTCAGCATGGTTTGGGACTGAGCATGAGGTGCGGCACATCACGCATGCGCAAGACTGGCAGGCACCTTGGCTGTGGGCTTGTCTTTGCCTTTCTTTGCGCGCTTCGATGCTGGGCGCTGGCTGAAAAAGTCGCGAGCACTGATTTCCGTCTTGGAGTCGACAAAGTCTCCATCATCAGAGTCCTAGCGGGTGTGGCAGTGCAGTACAGGCAGGCAGGCACAAGGGTGTGTGAAAACGGGGCAGGCACAGCAGAAGGGAACTCATGCTGCAGAGGCACACTCACACACATAGACACACACACACACACACATAGACACATACACAAACACACACACACACACAAACACACATGCGTGCATGTTCTGCCTCACCACATCGATGACCTCTGGCTGCTTCTTCTTGCCGCCCTTCTTCTTTGGCTTTTGTGAAAAGAAGGCCCGGATGTCCGCCATGGCTGCCTGTCGACCCACATACACACACACACAACATGCATAAGCCAACATGGTGAGGCAGACAGAACCAGAGGCAGACCCACCACATCACACACCACACAGCACCACAGCACGTTTGCTCGGACTTGTGTCTCTCACTGACTGACTGATGGCTTTGGCGCGATCAGGGTTGCGGATAATTCTCCATGATTCCCAATACAATTCCAGCCGGAAACCGCCCAAGGAACAAAAACAAAAGCAACACCGCAGCAACAGCAGCAGCAGCATTCACATCTCACTGCAACTCGGGCAACTGTCGTCGCGTTTTTGCCCTTGCTGCACTCGTGCACACAAGATCAGGAACCACAAGCAGTGCAGACATCAACACCCTGCAAGCGGGCAAGTGAGCGAGTAAGCGAGTGAACGATGGCTGGCCGCTTGCGTGCAATCGCTGCGGTTGCCACGGCTGCTGGCGCAGCTGTGTTTGGGACGATGGCCGCAACACGCGCACCACCGCCCGCAACCGTCACCCCGCCGGGATCGCCCCTGAACCTGCCCTCACGCAAGAAGCAGGTGCGCACGTGTGCCTGCGTGCGTGCGCGTCTCTGCAACAAGGATACCAAAGGGGGAAGGGGGGCAGTGTGGTGCAGCTGCGAGCAAGCACCAACTGCCATGCCAGCGCTCGTGTTCTGCTTTGCACGATGTTGTCATCACTGCCACGCTGTCGGGCCCAAATTGTCTGATTCAGACACGCACATCCCCTCTTCCTTTCTCTATCTCTGTCTATCTCTGTGTGTGTGTCTCTCTCTGTCTCTCTCTCTCTCTCTCTCTCTCTCTCTCTCTCTCTGTCTCACACTCTCACACACACTCTCACACTCTCACTCACACACATGAACAAACACTTGTACGTAGTGGGAGGATCTCCAGTCCCAGGAGTACGACATCCTTGTGATTGGAGGCGGTGCCACCGGTAGCGGTGAGTCTGCAAGCATCCGGAACTGCACGTGCCCATGAGCACACATGCCCGCCCACGCACACACATGAACACAAGCACGCACATATGCTCACATGCACGCTGACCACATTCTCACATTCTCCCCTTTGTTCCGTGTGTCTGTGTGATTGTGCTACGCAATGTTCATCCAGGCGTTGCTTTGGATGCGGCATCTCGAGGTGCGGGTGCTGTGCGCAATGACACATGCACACTGATATATGAACGGTTGCCAGCTCAATCTACTTGTGTGAGTGTGTGTGTGCGTGTGTGTGTGTGTGCGTGTGTGGTGTGCTGCGCTCATTCCGTGGTTGTTTGTTTTTGTTTGCATGCACGCGTGGTTGTGTGTCTCCATACCGCGCGCTGCGTCACCAGGGCTTCGGGTTGCACTTGTTGAGCGGGACGACTTCTGCTCCGGCACCAGCAGCCGCAGCACCAAGCTCATCCACGGCGGCGGTCAGTCGCTCTGTGTGTGTGTGTGTGTGTGTGTGTGTTTGTGTGCGTGCGTGTGTATACGTGTGTGTGTGTGTGTATACGTGTGTGTGTATATACGTGTGTGTTTGTGTTTGTGCGACTGGCTTGCGCATCCATGTGTACCTGTGCACGTGCTCATGCAGCATGGGCTCGCCTTCCATTCTGCCTCCGGTGCAGTCCGTTACCTGGAGAAGGCAATCATGCAATTGGATATGGAACAGGTGGGGCAATAGTTTCTCAGGCGCGTGCATGCATGCATTAACTACGTTCGAGGAGGCCACTGTGTACCCCTCCCCCGCCCTCACAACTCACAATAACTTCACTCACACATACATACGCACACAATCACGCACACAACCGTCTGCACACACACACACACCCCCCCACACACACGCTTCTGTGCATGTATCCGTGCACAGTACAACATGGTGCAAGAGGCGCTGCGTGAGCGGGAGACGCTTCTGCGCATTGCACCGCACGTCGCACGCGAGCTGCCCATCCTCGTCCCAATCTACAGGTCCGCAGCCGTGATGGTGGTGGATGGTGGTGGTGTGATTCTTGTGGTTGAAGTCACATGTAGCTCAAGCCATCCAGCGTATGCACAGCTCATTCACACCAACCAACCTCCTGCTCGCCCCCGCTTTCCACGACAACACACAACACAACTGTCGCCAACGTTGTAGGTGGTGGGAGCTGCCATACATGTACGCCGGCCTGAAGATGTACGACTTTATTGCGTGGCTGTCCAAGAAGAAGGAGGACAAGGGCGTGAGTGGCTGCTACATGCTGGGCAGGGACGCTGCCATGGCCGCATTTCCACAGCTCAACACCGCCAGTCTCCGTGGCGCAATTGTCTACCACGACGGTGAGGGAGTGCTGGGCATGTGTGCGTGTGTGCGTGTGTGCGTGTGTGTGTGTGTGCGCGCGTGTGTATAGTGTGTGTGTGCGTGTGTGTGTGTGTGCGTGTGTGTGTGTGAAGAGGGGGATGGAGGCTCTTGTGAAACGTTCGTTTGCGTGTGTGTTGTGTTGTGTTGAGCATGCACGGCATGTGCCGCTCACCCATCCTCCTTTCGTGCGCGCGCGTGACATCAGGACAACACGATGACGCCGCAATGGGACTCGCCGTGGCGCTGACTGCGGCCAAGGAGGGCGCAACCGTGCTGAACCACGCCGGCGTGAGTGATGGATGTCAATGATGGATGACCAAACACTGTAGCGCTCACCACGCGTCAACACATACACACACACACACAACAATACACACACACAAATACGCACACACATACAATACACACACGTACGCACACGTACGCACATGTACACACTCAGATACACATACGAACACATAAACATGCTCATCTACGTGTCCATGCAACGCCAACTCACGCGCGCCCTTGTCTCTCCCTCCCCTTCGCAGGTCGTTGAGCTGGTGAAGCAACGGGTCGGAGAGGATGTTCCGGACAGGATTATTGGCGCCCGCGTCCGTGACGAGCTCACAGGTTGGATGGGGGCGTAGGGATGATGATGGATTTGGCCGGGGAGGGGAGGTGTTATGCATGGTGGCTAGCCTGTTGAGTCGTGCATGAGAGGTGAGAAAATTTGAGCAACCGTCATGACCAAACACACACACACACACACACACACACACACACACACACACACACACACACACACACACGCCACGTCACGCCACGCTGCAGGGGAAGAGGCAACGGTGCACGCCAAGTGCGTCATCAACGCGACCGGCTGCTTTACGGACGAGGTGTTGAAGATGGACAACCCAAAGCAGGACGATGTTGTGGTGCCGAGTCAGGGCATCCACGTCGTCCTCCCAAGC